GCCTCGTATGGTTCACCTGCGATCTAGGTTGGCGGCATCCCACAATTTTCACTTAGGCGAAAGCATTTTCCATGTTGTGTAAAAACTTTTCGTTTCCACGACGCCCGTTTTGAGTGTTTATAGCCGATGTGCAACCCCACTTGTTGCGAAGTATTGTCGTTGTTTTTGCTGGTTTCTGTGTTACGTCGATACCCTTTTCTGGTCGAGTTTATACTTACTTTAAGTAACAGGTGTTGCGTCAGTTACGCCTGAGTATCGGAAGCACGATCAAGTGGCAGTTGCCGCTTGCTAAACAAGCCTCGCCCTGATTGTTCGGCAGCAGCGATTCAGTCAACGACGTTGACGACTGATAATTATAACCGGTAGGTTTAAAGAAGTGGACAATTTGCCTCATTCGCCATTCATTTGAATTGTTCGCGAAACAACATATTGCACACGTTACATCTGTCTGACCAAAAATATTCGCCTCACATCGACACTAAGCATGACGGCTAATTGATTAGCTTTCAAAAGCGTCGTACTAATTATTAGCGTAAATAATGACCCATCTTACAGGAGAAATTTCAACGGTATAACGAGGTACCGGTTTTGAAATTAGGTTTTTTACTTAGTTATTTAATTCATCACCTATTGTTTATCTGTTATTCATAATATGGTTTCGAAAGAATTGACTGACGGGCATTCGACCAGTGTCCAACAGTAAATCGAAATTTCGATAGCGCTACCTCACTTCTCCGCTGTTAAAATAAGGAAGGGTATTCTTACCGTTTGTGGCGTCAAATTTTGGGACGTCAGATAGAATTCAGATGGGATATTCATAATAAGGCGTACATTGAAATAAGCAAGTAGCAAACTGCCAGAATACATTGATGAGGTAATTAGATGCTAATAAGTGTTACGGACCCGCAGGATACTTGGCTCATGTGGTAGCATGAATGCAACCAGTTCCACGACTTTCCGGAACACGTGAATAAGAATTCGTGAAGAAGATTTAGTCCGTCTATAAACTTCAAGAAAACGGAAGGCTTCCGTTTCTGGGCATTTTAGTGTATGAGGACATCTTTATGGAACGTTACGTAAGAACCAGTGCAAATGGAATACCCGCTGTGTTGTTGCATACCAGATGATGATCTGAAGGTATTAATAAGATCAACAAACTGTCGTTCAAGTTAACAGATTTAGGCATAATTAAGTCTTTGTCCTCCTCATCAAGCTTTGTTCAAGATTGGTGATAATAGAAATTTTAATTATGATATTGATAACGGCGATTACGATAGTGATAAAGTAAAGACTGTAGCCATGACGACGATGACCACTGCGATGATCATACAGTGATCTTGAAAATGATGAAGAGTTGATGGTGGGAACGACGGCCATGACGATGAGAGTTGCATTTCTGTGTAAAGTAACATTCATTGTCGAATGCAGGACAGCAAGAGCATTGCGACTCTGAAATTTTCAAAGCCTGTGGTGCCGTCAGCCAATCATATTTTTCGATAGTAGCGATGGCTAGATATAAACGGCGATGGTAATATTCACTAAGGTCGTTTGAACCGTATTTTCTGTTCTTTACTCGTGACTAATTAGACATAGATCATCTATTGAACATCTACTGAATCAGACAGGTAACATGAAAGGTAATTTTGGTCAACGCACGCTTCCAGTAAGAAGGTTACTGTCCTCGGCATGCAGCGGCTACTGTCCTCATCCTTCTTTTCTGTTTCTGTCCTCTTTTGTCATCTACTCTTCCCCTCCTGTTTTACACTGTACCAGGTTCCGCAGCTCGTTCGAAAACGATCTTTTTACTTTACGGTTGTGACACATTTTGACGAATGATCGATCACTCCTGTTTTAGGGCGCTAAAAATCAGTTAAAAATTTGCCTGGATAAAGGCGATAAAACGCGGACCTTTTTCTTCCAACCGAAACCTAATTCACACTTCACACTTCGTTTGTCCCGTAGTTTCATCTAGCATCAAAAACAGCGATCGAAATTTGTCGCCGTCCGCTAGTCTCTGGTGTCCACTTGGACGGACGTGTGATTTCAGCAGATGGCCAGCTTCACCATCATTTCTTGTGATCGACTCATCTTCTTTGTTTTGCCTTAAGCTCAGCCACGGAAGCGGTCAAACGTCCACATACCGTATGGTTGTAACACTTATTTTCTTCTGTAGTTTCATTTCTTCGCCCCTGCGCATATCACGTTAAACAGATGACAGATCACTGATTTACACCGTAAATTTTTCTGTTTTGTACTATGTCTTTAGCCTCCTGAAGACGGATCGAACATTATCCAAAAAGTATATCACGGAATGTATATCATAGAATCGATATGCTGTCATTCCATAATAGACTTTGTAAATCTTATAACTATACAATTAAATACGATATAAAATATATTGAATATGGTACCCAGTTTTATTATATGGTAGATGATATGATGCTTCGGTATGTCAAAAGATGGTAGTACAACGCATAAAATATTCTTTTATGAACAACGCCATGTCTCGGTCCGTTTCCAGAGTTACAGTTAGTAAGGCATATGATGCTTTGAATTGGTCAGGTTAAATCATATAATTAATGGTGCCGCGTTTGTTATATGTCGTTCGCGAGCGCTTGATATCTACGGTCTTTGTCTCGTTGACGTCTATTCTAAGGTCACCGTTGATGCTTTTGTTTCGTTGTTGGGGATCAGTATCGCTTCCTTGACTTTGCGGGAAAGATATTGTTATTCCCGCGCAGCACCTTTCAACCTGTCCCACGATATGTTGTATTGGCGAGTAACACCATGTTCCACAATGGCAGAATTTTTCTCGCATTCTGCCTTTGGAAGTCCACAGTTTTTCGTCTGTCTCCGACCTCTTTCTCTAGCATCAGCATGATCAGATTCCTCATGTAGTCTGTCCTCCTTTCTTCAGCTCTGTAACCCGTTTCGCCTATGTAAACCGCACCACAGGAGCACGCGAGTTGGCTCATCCAACCGGCTTTCTGCTCCCTAGGTTTCTGCGTCTTGAGCTGGCTTAATCGGCGATGTAGAGTTGCATCAATTTTGACTACTAGGTTATGTGCGGACGCAGATCCAATACGACGCAGCTTTTCGCTCATTTGGCGAACGCATGACAAGGAAATGTAAGATATAGCATTGCATTTTCTCCTATGTAATCAGGACAAAACTCACAAGGTAGGGTGCAAATCAGCTATATTAAATATGGTGCATGTATCAGTTTAGTACTATATATAGCGTAGTACATAAAACTATATTTAATATGAAGAAGTTAACGTGGCAGTGAGCAGAAGAATACTTCGCAAGAAGAACCGATCGTCGTTAGACTGCAATTCAAGGTAGAATAAACGACTTACAGCAAGTCATCCAGATCGATGGTAGGACCAGATGAAGAAGCTCGTTGGAAAACGATAGATGAAAGTGGCAGATTACGGAAGTCTAAGGTAAAGCCTTGGAGAGGCCTTTATCTAGTAGTGGATCGACAAAGGCTGATGATCATGATATGTTTTTCTAGAATTTGTATATAGTTGCATTTTTGTTGAATGTTTATGTTATGCTTATACGTGCATACGCATATATGCAATGTATGTATAGCACTCATGCTTTGTTTTATACATGTATATACCTATTTCTGCCATTAATAGATCTATGTATATATTCGTACCGTTTATGGAATATCTAAAATAGTTATTGGGACATGCTGATAAGCGTTGAATGAATGAAGAAGTAATTAATGTTAAGAGGCATTAATGCGTAATGTTATGTCAAACCCGGATAGGCTGGAAATTGTTTCGCGAGGATTAAGCTGTCTGTTGCCTTCTCCCTCATTATTCAGCTGGCGTATCACACTGGCACTCTGGACTGAGTGAATTTGGTCGATGAGATGACCTTCGTCGCATTGAGCCGTCCCTTTCCTTTTGTAACAAATTTACTACCATCGAGTCATTGTTTTTCCGTTTCGCAATTCGTCGGCTAACCTCAATGGCTTGCGTTGTTTCCGCTTCTCTTCTCGCCGTCTGTTCTGTCGTTGATTTGAAGAACATTAGCAGGCATAGTGCTTCCGCTCCCGCCACCTCATAACACGATTTTCTTCTTGAACGTTTCCTGTTAGCTTCTTATGTCTGAGCACGTTATTGATCGACTGGCAGATTGATTTGTGACTCACGATGTACTCGGCGTTTGGTGCTTAGCCTCATTCTGATTTGTCTTCATTTTTTTTAGTTTCATTGATCTTTTTTCCATCTAAACGCCCGACTCCCGGTAATTCGAATTTAGGCATACGCTGCCAGGATCCTCTTCGTCATTTACCTCTCTCTGTTCATGTATATTAAGTCGGCAAAGCTGAACGTGGTGCCTTTGTTCGTTGTGTGTATGTTACGGCCAAGAGATGTGCCTTTTGTTGTGTACGTTTCAGTAATGGCGCATTTTCACGTTATTTGTTTCGTTTAGACCGCTTGCTACTTTATGAAGTCCCTCTATCGAGTATTTTACCGCGACAAGAAGCTACTCTGGCTGCCGCTATTTTTATTCTCGCTACCGGCGTTTTATTTTCTTGTCGACGACTCTTTCGGCAGCAGGTCCAATTCTCAGAAGGCAAATGAGGTGAGTGCCACCTTGGGTACAAAAACTGATCAGTTTACGTTAAAGTTGAATTTCCTGCTTGAACGTAGTACCACTGCTCGATGGTATTTTAACATGTGATAGGCGCCCAGTTAATGGGCGCAAAGCCTAATCACTTTGATGGGTCGAACCAAAAGGTAGGTATAATGTCGATGCTAGTTTTGTACAGTGGGAAGTGTACACTATAAGCTGGGGAGTTTGTCTCCATTGGAATATCGGTCGGTATTTCCGTTTCTATGCCATCAGCTTTAGTTTTTTTAAATGCAGGATCTGCAGTTACTTGGCAAGGGTCGCGCTTGTGGTGTCCAGTTTCCTTCGCACGGAATGGAATTCAATACCACAAGTAGAAATAAGTATAAACTGTTCATTTGGCCAGATTCGCAGAGCGAAGAGAAGACTAACATCGATTAGTCGAATTACTGTTGTATCTTGTATAATGCTTCAAGTGCTAACAGATTTCAACTTTTCATTTTGTTCGTATAGGGTAACTGAATCATGACAAAATCATAATATGCACACATCGAGTGTGGCTAGTGATAAGATGAGATGCTCACAATCATTTCATTCAATCGTGTGAATAGTTTGATTGGGTTTTGATGTGTTGATAAGCCGATTGAGGAATGTGGCTTTCAGTTGACATTAAAGGTCGACATACAGCCTAGCTAATTTGTTGTTTGTAGATCTCGAATGATCAGCTAACGGTGATCAACGACTATCTGTACCGGCTGCAGTTTTTAGAAAGGGAAAACAACGACCTGTTCGTCGAACTGCGTAGTCAGATCGATGCGTTAGTGAATGTGCTGTATGTGTGCACGAACAGCTCGATGCCCGGTGGGGGCACGAACTTCAGCTTGGTTTCCGGTGCTGGTGCTAATGTCGGCGCTGTTCACCTTAACCTCACTGCACTCGGCAACTTCACGCGGTCACCGTACCTGCTGTTGAACGCGTTGGTGAACAACGGCGACCTGGCCGTGCCGAATATCTACGTGCACTTTGCACATCTGTTGCGACACCCTGACTCGTTGGTGCCGGCAGTGAGGATGTCGCGCAACCGGCGAGGTCGACTGGTGATCGGCGTGCCGACTGTCAAACGGGCTAAAACGACGTACCTCATCAGCACGCTACGGTCGTTGATCGACAACCTGAACAACGGCGAAGCAGCTCAGGTGGTCATCGTGGTGTTCATCGGCGAGCCGGGAGTCACCGAGTTCGTGCTACAACAACTGAAAATGCTGCGAGACGAATTCGACGAACATTTTTCATCTGGCATGCTCGAAGTGCTGGTTCCACCAAAAAACTATTATCCAGACTTCAGTGCCATCCGGTCGACATTCAATGACGACAAGCAAAGGATGCGTTGGCGAACCAAGCAGAACCTCGACTATATTTATTTGATGATGTATTGCCAGAAACGGGCACCGTTTTATCTACAGTTGGAGGATGACGTAGTGACGCGCAAGTCGTACTTTTCGACCATGTTCAAGTTCGTACACGAAAACGAACCCATTCCGTGGTTTATGCTGCAGTTCTCGTCGTTGGGCTTCATCGCAAAGTTCTTTCGCACAAGTTCCTTGCCAAAACTCATCGAGTTCCTGATTCTGTTCTACCAGGAGAAGCCTGTCGATTGGCTACTTGACCATTTTATGTATGTGCGTTATTGCAACCCGGACAAATCGGCCAAAGATTGTAAGGAGGCGAAAAGCAAGCATGGTCTCGTCTATAAGCCGAGTCTGTTTCAACACATCGGCGTTCACAGTTCACTGGATGGCAAAGTACAAAAACTGAAAGAACGAGACTTCTCAAAGGTACAGTACCACGTTTCGCACGTCAACCCTCCGGCGGTCGTCAACTCGTCTTTGACCGTCTACCAGAAGTATACGTTGTCCGACGCGTACGCCGGTAAGTCGTTCTTCTGGGGATTGGCGCCACAGAACAACGACTGGATCCGTTTCGATTTGACGCCACCGGTTCGCATTCATAGCATCAAATTTCGGTCCGGCAACCCGGAACATCCGGACGACTTGTTTAACAACGCTACCGTTGAGGTCGCCGACGCCTCCGTTGTCCACGCTGCTGTCGACGAGGAGCAGTTCAGAAACTTAGGCTGGTTCTCGGCGACCGGTTCGTTCTACGCCGTCGTCAACTCGCCCTCACCGATCAGGACCGTTCGTATCGTGTTTCATAGCAATTCGAGCAACTGGCTTGTACTGTCTGAGGTGTGGATTCGAGCCGCTGATTCATGACACGACATATTTGTCGTGTGCTTCGCGTAACGATCCCAGTGCTCACTTTGTTTGAGCTGTACAGAAATTATGGTTGTGACTCAGTGGAAGTTATTTCCGGTGCATTCTGACACTATATGGAAGTTCCGTTAAACTCGTGTATACTGTGTTGTGATATTTCAAGGTCCGTTCATTTGCAGAACTGGTGTGTGCAGTTGTTTTTCGCTACGTGGAAATGCTTATCATTTTTAACAATGCCATCTTGGCGCTTCCTTTTCTTCTTCGATACAGTTCGCCTGTTTTGAACCGGATGCCGTTCAGGCATATTATTTTTGGTGTCAAAATTGTCAATAAACTGACATGAACTACTTCACTGCGAAATACCCGTTTCTGATGCATGATTCTACCATCAGACAGGGGCACCATATGGATGAGGTAGATGCAGGTCTATTTTCATAGCGGTTATGTTCCTAGGATGCAGATGTCAAAATACGTTAATATAGCGAATATCCCAAACTAGAGATGTCCTGCTTATGTAAACAGATAAACAGGACTTAGGAGAAATCACACGAGCATTTGACACCGGATCATGCTACTTAATATCTTCGTTTCCGTTATTGCAAGTATTCTGGCTTGCTCAATCGTTGGCCGCTGATAATGCCAACGCACAGCACTTCTCAACTTTGCAACCAGTGTATACTGCAAATTTACATATACCTTTTTCAGAACTTCGGGGTCACGGAATAGACAGGTATTGGTCTGGGTTCTACTGAAAAAGCAGTCATAACTTTGAAAAAATTTTCCGTCGTTCTTTTAATAATACGACAAAAGAAAATTCTCTCCTCCCCATTATTTTCAACGACTTTAACCGCAAGTACGCTAGGAAGCACGATATGTCGACTATATCCATAGAATTTATTTTAGAAACTACCTCGAAACAGAATGGTGATGATGGCATACAAATGGATTAAGAAACTCTTTTTCAAGAAATTACTGAAAACTACAGCATTCGTTGAAATCTTGTAAGCGTGCGGAAAATCCCAGTTATTTGACCTCTAAGTTTTTCTTGCCATCGATTTGGAGATATTCCTGTTGTTGACATGATCTTCTCTAGCATCCTTGCAAACCTGCAGACGTGTGATGTTCACGAACTGTCCGTTTATTGCCGCTTGGAATCCAGTCTAATGTCTCTGTGGCTTAGCGATGGTCGATTCTTCTTGATTTAATACAACAAAGAACATTAGCTTCTTCATTCATTGATTTTCAGTGATTCACGCAGAATTCCAACTGGCGTGTAGCGTTTTATTTCTATTCACTTCGGTATTCAGGCAGATGTTCAAGGAACAGCCTGATTTTATATTCCACCATGGCAGAAAATATATGTTATATAATGTTCCTTTGTTGTGCCACAAGGACGGGGGGGGGCAGTGAAGCACAATTCGGATCACAGATTCTCCCCGTTGAGAATGGTGCCAAGCACATAAACTTACAGAACGTAGTTGGACAGCATTTTCGTAACAAATCAATTAATGTACAGTCTACTCTCAAACTGCCTTTTATCGAATGTGCCAACGTATTTACCACTGGACCTGTGGTGCGATGACTTTCTGCCGAATCGTCTCGTCTCAATGGCCGCAGAGAAGAATAACAGCCGTCTGCAGGAAAACAATCAGATGAAACCAGTTGTAAGCCTCGTTGACTTATAGTCCCGTGATGGTAACAGAGTGTTGCTCAGTTTTCGAGGAAAAAGAGAAAACTTAGAAACACTTCTGAGAAACGAGTGCCATTACATTCAAAGGAGGCGAAGTCCACTAGTCGATTGTTCGCTTAATTCAACAGAAGAGGAGGCTCTATTTTGACATTAAAATTGCAGAACGTCAGTTCCATTACATTGAAGATGAAATGAATTATCGAAAATGTGGTGAAAAGACGTGAAATGAAATAAGACAGAAATCCTCCTTGACACTCCACTTCCATAGGTCATGGTGATTTACTGCCAGTTGATAATCACGAGTGTCTTCTAATTTCATAACTGCTAGGAGGGACAGAAAATGAAAATCAAAGACACATAAGTAACATATTTCAATTATCGACAACGGACGAAACTGCACTGCTTCATTACTTCTAATCGCCTAGAGGGACCGTTTATGCAGGTCACGCGATTGTAAGGTATATAAGGAAATTTAGTGTATAGGATTCAAGACTACATCACAAAGTTGCGCTAAACAAAAGCACATTTACATACACATATATGCAGAATAACGTACATGATTTCTTTATGCCGAAGATGATTATATATATATACCCCAAATTACAGCTATTCAAATTCACCGGCAAATATCGCACATTTTAATATTTGATACTGGATTTTTACGGTAACAGTGCATAAGGAATATAAATAATATAAGAAATACAAATTCTCATAATCCAGAAGCAGCAATTTAACATACTGCCTCCGTTAGAACCATGTTATTTTGCAATTTCTCTAGGTATCCCTGTCAGTGATTCATGTGCGACTGTACCTCAGATGCCCAGGCATACATCACAACATCGCGGAGGAATATGAAGAAATATTTTAATAATCAACTTACTCCAACATACATCACTCACATGAGCGACACATATGAATGTAGAGAGAGAACGACAAACAGAACGAGCGTAATGAACAATGCCTGAGAAATGAGAAAGCGAAAAAACAAACGTCAGCTGGGGCTGTTTCTCAACACAGCGGAGTGGTGCCCTAAATTTGACAACACTTTCGCCAGATCAGCGCACTGACCAGCGTTCAGGTGCTGCGCCATTTCCACAATCGCATCCATCAACAGGTCCGGGCTACCCGAGAGCATCCTTGAATTTAGATTGTTACGGTAAGTGAAACAGATTGAAATGAGTCTGAGAAGAAGGGACGAAATCACCTACTCATCGAAGGCGCTATACATTGAAGTTTGGTGTACCACCGCGGTTAAATGTCAGAAATCCTGCTGGAAAGCTTACCAGAGTATAACTTAAACCTTCCTCTAAATCGTTGATGCAGGGCGGACAACTAGTTTCTAAAATATTTACTAGAAAAAACAACATTGAGACACGCCGAACGAACCCAAGAAGATACAACGGAAATCTAAATGATTTATGTGACATATCCATTTAGAAAAAGAGTGGGTACCATGAGCAAAAACTTGACAGAAGGTTTGAGGCCGTGCAGCTATCCACATTTTTCCAAAAGAAGGGATTAGGTGTGAGTGTATGGTTATTCTGCCATTCCTATTGCACGCAGAAAATGAGACCTGTCGATGTTTAACCTAAGTTGGGCCAGTCGAAACGAAAGCTCCATTCAAGACAATCAATATGAGTGGCTATGAAATCTCCAGCCTCTAACACCACTTAGTTGAGGTGAGCAAGTTTCTACCTAACTATATCTTGAACTTTGTTACAATTCCTCTCCTGGAAAGTATGCTGGTTTGCTATGAGTGTTAGAGAAAAAGAGATGACGGGTAGCATACAGA